TACGCACACATTTACACTATCCACACGCATGAATATAGAAAATTGCCTATATAATATATTAAACTCCTAAAAAACGATCGGTATTGAATCCCCTTAAGTAATAATAATATTGTCCTATATACACCTAAATAGATAGTACTACTACAGTGGAGTGAAGAAGGACTTTATTTGAGGCATGTGCCTCAGTTTAAAGGGTGGTGGGCCGGTGTCCTGAGGACTAAGGTCATTTTAAATATAATAAATAATTTATTAAGTAGGTACACATTAACATTAAGCCAATCTTTCTCAGTTATCATTTACGTAAATACGTAATTACTTATATAAGTATTTATAACTACTAATATAAATTATTGTGTCTCATAAGTTAATGAAGTTCGGCACGACACGACCGATAGTAGGTAGGTAATAGGTATACAATATTAATCGGAAAATCACGATAACGGATAACTTATTTGTATTATAAGTTATAACTTTATAAGCTTTGTACACAAGCACGCGTAGGTACAACTGTACAAGGTACTTGCACATTTCATAACATATAATATAATATTACCTATCTATAATAAGCAGGATGACTGATTTTTCTGTGCACTTTACATGTAGCGTAATTTTAAATTTCTTACCCAATTTGAATATTTTGTGCAGCAAAATTATCAATATGTTTTACCTGCTACAGTACAGTAGACATTAAGGTAATTTCCTAGTCATAGTTGTAAAAGTATTAGGTAACACATTATTTTTACAACATTGCCTAAATGTATGTTGTCTGTTAATGCCTAGACGCTATCGTCTACTGATGTTAGGGGCATTAATGACAATATTGGCTAGGAACTTATTAACTTAACTACATAATTTATACTGTAACATATTATACTATATAGATTAAAGTCAGACGTATTAATACAATACTCGCATAATATCACATACAACAACAACCGTATATTCGAAAAAAATGATTGCCTAAATGTCTTAATCGTGTGAATACAATATGGAGTTTTGTAATATTCAATAAAAGCATTTATGTACGTCACCAATATAGACAAAAGTGCTGACATCACTCGAACTTGTAGAGCAGAATATGAGTGTTTGACATAACCTATGTATATAATTTGCATAAAAATCAACTATCATCAAATTAGCATAGTATACAAAAACTTTAGTAACAAAACCATACATAAAAATATTATCGACTACTGGCTAAATAATAATTGCCATAGCGATAAATTCATCACACATTTTTATAAACTGGTGATTTAGTATTAAAAATAAAAAATACCTACCTACTAGGTGACTAAAAGTTACTTTTAGTTTAGGTACCCTAAAATATAGTGCAGTTAACTAATGCCTATCAATAAACACTACAATATATCATGTAGGTAATATTTAAATCAAACATGTCAATGTAAATTGTGAAAAGTACCTACCTATAGTAAAATTACGACTTCAAAAATCGATATCATTTAAACGCTGTAATAATAATATTTTAACCAAACGAAAAAAAATGGACATTATCTTAAGTCTTTATAACGTTCCGAAAAAAATTACACTATAAAAACGGCAATACAGCATTATGTTTTTATTAAAAATCGGCCCAACCGCATGGATTGTTCTCATTACTCAGTTTTTCGCAATTTTATCAAAAACTGCTGAGAGAGCTTACAATATTCAGACAAACTCGAAGTACCATCAGTTTTCAATTTTTAATCGATAGACGGGCTTGTACGGAACGTCGTAACTAAGTGTTTTCAAAAACCGAATGCAAACCATACGTCATTGAAAAATCGTAGATTTCTCATCAACCGTTGTTGGATGGAATCAAACAATCGTTAACAAAAATCAATACCTACTTACCTACCATTTTAAGTATAAACCTAAGCATTAATGGTGAAATAAAATTATTGATGAAAGGGCGTTTCGATGTCCCATAAAAAAAAGTTAGTTGAAGGGCTTGTTGCCAAACGAGCCTAGGCCACATTTTGAAATATTTCAAAAAAACTAAAATGGTTTAAAATGTACCTATATAGGCTATATATTTATTAAACAATTTGAATTTTATGAAAGATATTGGTTAGTAATATATTAATATGTGTGGACACTGTTGGTTCGTCTATGTTCTATAAAATGTACCTAATGAACTTGACTCGACATGGATTTATTTTGTTTTTTCCCACAATAAATTTAATATTTATATAATTTTATTAGTTTTCATGGAAAAATGTATCATATTAAATAAATTATTATTTTATTATTTTCATCTAAACAAATTATATATTATTTGACATTAACTATGTTGTGGAATGTATGCAATATGCATAAGGCATAACATATTACTTTTGTTTACTTATTATGTTAAAATGTGACTATTATTTACAGCGAAAACCAGTCAAACCAAAGCCAATTGAATAATAAAACCTAAAAGTATGCCTTTCATAGGTACTCACTTATACATAAATGACGTACTAGTTTGGATGTAGCCACTAGGCATTTTTTTAAAAATTTAATTCCGTGTAAAAGTGGACTTTTTTGATTTTTTGAAGCAACCCCTTCAATTGAGATAAATGAATTATATGAGTGACCAAATATAATATTATATCTGTAATATAAAAAACCATAAATTATAAAATATTTGAAATATATTACTAATATTTTATAGATTATAAAAATGAATACTATACCTAGGTATACCAAAATATTAATTTAAAAATTCTCAGTTAAAATTTAGTAGGTAAATTCAAGATTAATCAAATGCATAGTATTAAAAATTAAAATCTATACAATAGCCTTAAAATTTCGTAGTTATATAGTTATTACACATGTACATATGAAATTCAAAAATATCAATATAATATTCGCGTAGAAGTATTAGAACTTTGAATTTTCAAATTTGTTTATTTTAAGAATTATAAATCGACATTATTCATTTATAAATTATAATATAAAATAGATTAGGTAATATTATAGTGCATATTGTATCGAAATTTGAAACTTTATTTTTAATATATCAAACTTTAAAGGTTAATATGTGTCTGTACTTATCCAAATTTTACAATATTTTATCTTTTTAATTATAATATATTTAAAAATTATAAATATTTAATTAACGTAAGTTGGATTTAAGTGTTGATTTATAATTATTTTAAAATTTGATTTAAAATGCTCATCCGATTATCCGATGTGAATTGAAAATTGTATATTTTATTAAGGGGATTTCATCCCGACTGTGTTGTCACCAAAATTTATCTATCTTATGCAAACTAACACTGCTGAGTGCCTGTCCATAAATGCTAACCTCCAGTAAATAACGATTAACGATTAATATAAAATTTACTCATTATACTTATAATTGTACTGTATAGTTAGCAAATAATTTTATTAAAATATATTAAAAAATGATCGAATTGAGACTGATGTTTTATCTTTAAATATAAAATTATACATAACTGGTATTCATTGGAAGGAAAAATATTTAGTTATAATCTAGAACCACAAATCGAGATACCTCCCATCGGTTCTTGGTGAATTGTCGTAGATTAAAGTTTATATCAAATATCAGGTATCAACAATTTTTAGTACGAAGATAAATGTAAAATTTAAATATAGTTCAGACTTCAATAATTTTATCAAATTTGTCCATATCTGGTAGTGAAAAATAATATGCAGATACTGTATGCAATAATTGATAAAATAAAAAAAACTTGTCTTGGCCGCTAAAATGTCCATAGTTTTTAGGGTTCCGTACGGTAAAACGGGACCCTATTACTTAGGCTCCGCTGTCCGTCCGTCTATCGCCGGGCTGTATCTCATGAACCATGAAAGTTAGAAAGTTGAAATTTTCACAGATTATGTATTTCTGTTTCCGCTAGAACAACAAATACTAGAATATATAATATAAGCAGTGTTGTCAACATGCTTATAGCTGATGATGGTACGGAACTCTTCGTGCGCGAGTCTGACTCTCACTTGGCCGGGTTTTTTTATAATATTTTAAATATTTATAAATTTTTAATTTGTGAAATATGCCAAAGAATATTATAATACATTTTGTATTATATTTTTGAGATATTTTATTTACAAACAAAAATTTTAGTACACTAAAATCGACATAAAATATCTATTAAAAGTACAAAAAGAGCCAAATATGTTAATATAATAATACTATATAGGTACCAGCAAATCTATAGTGACCCTTTCCATTTCTATGTAGCTCTTCTTTTGTATTTACTATACACGATAACATCTTCAAAATAATATTATGACTCTTTTAATTTGATACCAAAATATTTTCTAGGTTAAAAACCTATGTACCTAATATAAGGTTCTTCATAAGTAGTTCATATACCAAATAATATAAATAAAATATATCAAAAATACATGGCAATAATATTATATTATAAATATAAAAGTTTAGAATTTTGACATAAATCATCAAAATAACGAAAATTCGCAAATTATTCTGTACTTAAAAATGCATAGGTAAATAAGGTTGGAAAAATTAGTACCAGGTTCCTTATAACATTTAGTTTTTGAAATTAATAAAAAAAAGTTGAGTGTAATTCCACACATATTTAATATGAGCGTCTGAAGTTTAAAATTTACATTTTTATGAAATTTGGAAAGTGCCTATTCACGTGTAAAATAACGACTGTTTAACAAATAATTTTAATTTTGAACTTCAAGTTACCAGCCATGTATTTAAAATTTTTTTAAATTGTATCATAAGAATTAAGAAATACTTATAAAAAACTGAATAGGTATTACATTTTCAACCTTTTTAACATGGAATATTTAACGTAGAATCATAAATTGTATCAACATAAATCGTAAAAAACATAGTTTCTTCTTTCTAGTGTCTATATAATATAGATTGAAAAGTTTTTAATTTTTTTTTATACATTCATGAATACTTAAATTTTATGGTATGCAATAATAATAGAAATAATAACATTTAATTGAAATAAGACTACCTATATGTTTTCATGTTTTAGGTTTACAATTTAGATATGAAGAATTGGAATACTAATAAAATATCCAGTGCTATTATAACTAAGCTTATCATTTTCCTTTATGTTATCAAGTAAGTAATAACACTAATAATTTTATAATATTGTTTTATAATCTTAGGGTGCTCAGATTTGCAAAATAAAAGTACAGGAAAAATGTTGACCATTTTATGCATTATATTGATCCAAGAAAAAGAAAAAAAAATCACAAATACTTATCCATCTTAAATCTTAACAAAAAAACTACTTAAAAATTAGAATTATTTTTTTTTTGCTGCCATATTTTAACTATTCCTTAATTTTATATATTCTATAAAAAATATTTCACCTTTAGAGTGTTTAAACTTAAACACCAACTCAATCCTACATGTTTTAAATACTCAATTCATGTGTAGTTAATTTATAGTTTTCTTTTAAAGCTCTCAATTTAGGTATTCAAAATGCTTGGAATTCAGGGATATTCTGCCAGAGGATGCAAAGCAATATGATAAAATGAGACCACCCAAAATAGATGGCACAGCAACAAAAGTTCATTTTCATGTAACGGTGATGGGCTTAGATTCAATCGATGAAAATGCAATGGTAACTTCGATTCTATTTCAATTAAAAACTATTTTATATTTAAATGTTTTGATTTTTTCCATAAGACATACGCTGCTGATATTTTTTTTGCTCAAACATGGAAGGATCATAGGCTTCGCTTACCGGAAAATATGACTTCCGAATATAGGTTAGTGTATATAAAAATATATTATGCATTTCTTTATTTTATATTGAACCAATCTAAAGTTCTTAATCTTTGTCAACGTTATTGTAGTTGTACAAGGTTGGTACCCATAGGTGTTATACAAGTTTAAATGCCATATTAAATACAACACTAAATAGTAAATTGTACAGTAAATACTAAAATGAGTAATAACTATATATAATAAATGTAATATACCTATGTCTGATAAATCTCATTTTCAGATTATTAGAAGTTGATTGGTTAAAAAACATTTGGAGACCGGATTCGTTTTTTAAGAATGCCAAAGCCGTTACATTTCAAACGATGACAATTCCAAATCATTACATGTGGCTTTATAAAGACAAAACTATTCTCTACATGGTCAAGTACGATTTTATCAACATGAATAATTATTTTCATTATTAAACCAATTCAGTATATTCATCAAAGTGATTTTTTGTTTTTAGATTAACGTTAACATTATCCTGTGCAATGAACTTCATGATATATCCACATGATACACAAGAATGCAAACTTCAAATGGAAAGCTGTAAGATAAAAAAAGTTGTTTAATATCACAGTAAACTTGAATTATAAGATTTATTTCAGTGTCTCATACCACTGATGATATGATATTTCAATGGGATCCAGAAGTACCTTTGGTTGTTGATGAAAACATTGAATTGCCTCAGTTACAGTTAGTCAAGAATCAAACTGCTGATTGCACTCAGGTTTATTCCACCGGTATACATTTTAATTTGCTCTTAATAGTCGTTAATGTTTATACATTTAATATACCTAAATATTATCTAGATTGGGTAAAATACTGCAGTAGGTATCATAGCCAGTTGTGGGCGTTGTGGCATACACACACCGAGGAATTTTGCGTGTTTGCCCCTTACCCTTATAGCTATTTTTCACTATATAAAAACTTAACATTTGTCAATATAAGTATATTATGTAAAAATATATATTATATATATATTAACCGTCCTCCCCAACTGTAAATTTCTGTGTATTTCATAGACCCCAGTAGGGGCAGTAGTACGTTTTTAAACATTAGATAAGTAGGAAGAAGTCATTATTGGCATTAATGTACTTTTTTTTGAGTACCCGTGGTATAGGAAATGTCTGATACTTCCGATTTTATTATTTAAGATTCTGATAGCCCCATAAATGGAAATGTTTTTTTTTAGTTTTTTTAGAAAAACATTTTTAAGTGGGAATATTAACTCGTAATATTTTTAATTATTTTTGTGTTACAATGATAAGAGCTTTAAATATTTTTTCAATAATAAATTCGTGTAGCCTAAGCATTAGGTCTACAATAATATATAGATTGAATATCAAACATAAATAATATTTCTAGGTTTCTCCAAATAAGTTTGTTTTTAACAAAAAAATTATAATTTTATAGTACCTACCTTGGTTGGTAAATTAATAATGATTTTGTCAACTAGCTTGTAGTATATTGTCATAACCACAATTGAAATTTGTTATTAACTCTGTGTGGTAGGTATATTTATAGATAAGTAGTATTAATAAGTATTTATATAATAGTAACTTACTAGTTACTATTATATTTAGCTAACCAATTAATATATTTTATTGTTTAAAAGATTAAATTAGTTAGAACTTGTAACTAAAATATGTCGTTAATAAACTAATGTACCTACCTAATTTTTCAGGAAATTTTACATGTCTTGAAGTTATTTTTGTTCTTAAACGAAGACTTGGATACTATCTGTTTCACACTTATATTCCTACATGTCTTATCGTCATAATGTCTGTAAGTAAATATTAATAATCATATCTTAATATGACATATTCTAATAAAAATTATTAATGTATATACCAGCTAATAAGTAATATCTAAAAACAAGTAATAAATAATATCTATATGGTCCATACCTAGTAAACAACTCATAACGCAAATTCTTTACCCAAAATGTATTGCAAAATAAAAACAGTTTACAGACTACTTAGAGTAGTTCGGAGTTGTATATTAGTCTTTTTATTCCTGGCTGTTTTATTTTTCGATATTTCACTGTAAATTTGAAATTATTATTATTTACCAGCTACTAAGTGTAGCATCAATATTATTATAATATATTCGTAACGACAAGTGATAACTTCAGTACTTCACCCAAAACTGTTGTAACTAACGCGAGGGTTAGGTATATGGTGAGCTAATGACTACCGATATGTTTGTAGATAAATATTATTATTGTTTAAAATTATACAAAACCAAAGCCAGTTTAAAACTTTTTTAGTGGGTTTCGTTTTGGATTAAACCTGAAGCTGCTCCAGCCCGTGTGACATTGGGTGTTACGTCTCTATTGACGTTGTCCACACAACACGCTAAATCTCAAGCTGCTCTTCCTCCCGTTTCATATCTAAAAGCAGTCGATACATTTATGTCAGCGTGCACTGTGTAAGTATATATTAGGTATATATTTATATCGTTTCTGAAAAACCTAATTAACAATAATAATTATGTTTTAGAGTGGGAGAATTTTTACATGACAATTTGAACTTTAGTCTATTGGGTTGTAACTGGTATTTAATTAAAATTAATGAGAAACTTATAGAAAATATGCACTCTTAAAAATATGTAAGACACCAATACACTATAATATTATAATTTTGTATAGATGTAATATTTATTTGTATAATTATATTTTATGGCTGATTGATTTCAATAAATAACTAAATAAATAAATCAATAGTTGTTAAGAACAGAATAAAATTATCATCTTCTAATAAGATGTCGGTAGATGGACAGTAAGTTATAAGTTTCTATAGTGGACAATAATAATGATTTATGATAGATGTAGGTCATATTATAAATGTTTATAAAAATAAAAATATAGATAATATTAATTAATTTAATCTATTTGCTTATATTATAATTTATAGTTTTGCATAACAAAATTAATTTAATACCAAGTAGGTACTAGCAATCCGCGATGCTACTATTTTTCAATCTGAACACAGCTGTAATTATAATATTTATATGTTTGTAATTAAACTAAATGACTCTCCTGCCGTTTTTAATTAAATAGATTCAATAATTAACATTTAAAAATAATGTTTTGCTGTAATGAAATATACTCAGATAGTATATATTCTCTGAATATTATATAAGTGCATTGTACCTAAAATTTACAAACGCATATAGTTCAACAATTATCTATTTCAAATAAAAATGTATTAACAACTAGGTTCTTAATAATAAATCATGAGACACTGACGGAATCAGTATTTTTTTTTTTAATCTTAAATGTGCTTAAATAGATCATCATCTAAAACAATAGATGTAAAAAATATAATACAGGGTGTCCTGTGAGGATTTACTCATTGCGATATCTCCTGAAATAATAGAGATATCGTAATTCTGTTTTCTTATTAAGACTCACAGAGGTAAGCATTACAAATAACTAATTTTTTATTTTTTTTTTATGATTTGGTAAAAAAGTTAAAGAAATTATTTTTTAAATTAATTATTTAAAATAATATTGAAGATTGCCACTTTGTAGAGTTCATTTTTCTGAAAATATTGACGTTTCAATTTAATTTCATTAATTTCCTGATTTTTAATAATCGGTTTTTGTCCGGGCAGCGAGTCCCCCTCTACGGCTAATAGGTAAATCCTCACGGGACACCCTGTATATCTGGGTGAAGGTTCATATTATAGGGTTTTTCTAATCCCATGTGAAACCTCGTGTTTGAAAAAAAATTAAGTTCCTAGCGATATATTTAATATATACCTACCTAGTAAGTAAATAAGTAATAACTATCGTATTCAAGCATATGATAAGGGACAAAACCAAAGGTACAGTACTTAATACATTCAGAAAATCGTATAGAGATATTTTTGTTCCATGTACTGATTATAGTCTTAATTTGCTTCTTGGAGATATCATATTATATGGAATTTCCCATGACGACGGCCATGACTTTTTTATGTTATTTTAAACTTCAAAGATTTTTTTTCCTGCCTTTACAAAAAATTTGGCAATCGAAAACTCATTCGTTTTGAATCAAATAATTTATAATATGAATGATAAAAAAAAAAAATTATACTTATTTTAGAGACACTTGTAGATAAATATTTGTTATTATTCATAGTTATTTTTAATCTGGTCATCAAAAATCCTAAAGGCGGCCAAGGGACAAGATCGTACGCTTGTCTCTGGGTAATTCTAATAACGAACTTGGATGCACATTTCACACATGGGCTATGAAATTATTATTTTAATATAATGGTATAGACACAGATCTCATACAGATACAGAATTCGTTATAAATGCACTCGGATTATTATATAGAGGACATTTCGGGATGCATCTCGAGAGATCCACGAATATTAAGCATTAGAGCAAAAACTAAGAGATAATGCAAGCTGTTCCACCTTAAAACTTATTTATACTTCATACAAAAGTTAGTTTTTTGGTAGAATATGGTGTCCAATAAAATACCTACACAAACGAATATCTAAATAAATACGATTTATTTAACAATAATGTAGTCTGTCAAAAAATATCATTATCTGTGTACTTACTAGGTTGCTCACATTAGACAATTGCATACATATTTTATTATCTCTAGACTCTAAAGTAATTTAAAGTTGTTAAACTGTAGATATACATACAATTTATATTACTTTGTATAAATATATAAAAAAAAGATTGTAAATATAATATCATTATTATATATAAATATGTGTTTTAACTAACAAAATATGTAACTGATATATGTTTTAGTTTCGTATTTATGGCTCTCATGGAATATTGCTTGGTGAACATAGTGCTTGGTGATTCCGACATGCCACCCAAACCATTAAATAAAAAATCATTTAATTTCAGCTTCAGGGTAATTATAATTTTTAATTTTAGTAAAGTTAAATAATGAAAACTAGTTTATTATTTAGACATAATTAAAATACGTTAATGGGATTCCACCTTAGGTGCCGTTTTTTTCGAGCAAATAGACCTATATGCGTTCCATCATACTGACTTGTCTCGCTCTGACAATAATTTTTAAAGCATATTTGAATTTATAATGAAGTCGTTTTTGAATCCTTCGAGTCAAAATTGTAAAAATATATTGTAACTATTTTTTTCACTGACATTTTTAAAAATACGAGATTTTTTCTTTTTAAGTATAATAAATTAAAAAAAAGGTGGGCAAGTGGGTGTCGCTCTGCTGTACAGTAGGTTACAAGTGGGTCACTGTATAATGGATGGTATTAAATTTGAATTCAATGATATAATATCATTGTATAAGAAAAACGATTCTGAGCGGTGATGGTATGTCAGTCTATGTATAAGGCATATTATATACATATCTATGGTATTAAACAAAAAATTGACCTATAATAGGTACCTATAATAAATTCCAAATTAATCATATCACAATATCCATTAGATACTTATAACGCGTTATACATCAACAAAAACCGTGATACTATCATAGATATATAATAGTACACTTTAGAAGTTTCAAGTACCCACGAATAGTATTATTCAATCACAACAAAATAACTAAAATCGTAATTCTTGGTTTAAATATGAAATTTTGTCTAAATTTGAAATTAAAATGTCTGTAAAAAATAAGTGTGTTTATATATTTTTTAGATTTTTTGGTTACAGTATGAATTATTTAAGAGAATCTTTGTTTTAAATTTTCAACTCTTAGTTATAAAAACTGAACATTTTATAATTTTTTAATTCCAACGATTGATAATTTTCGAGATTTTGATAAATTTTGTCAAAATTCCAACTTTAAATGCTTATAAAAAAAAAATCGTGCCTATGTATTTTTAATATTTTTCAACTGATATTGTAACAATATATCAGGAGCCTTGTATTAAATTTTTACACTTTTTGGCCCAACAGATAAAACTTTATTGATATTTATAGAAAAAAAAACTAAAAAAAATTGAAAGCTGTAAATGTCCATAAACAGCTCAAAAAGAGTCAAAATATTTTCAAAATTGTATGGTGTATAGGAAATGCTAATATAAACATTCAGTGAAATTTCCATGTATCTACAGTTATTCGTTTTTGAATTACAACAAAATAAGGAAATCGCTACATGAGAAATCGAGTGAAAATCCAATGTTGTAAAAATTTGAATTTCAAACGCTCATAAAAATTTAATTTGACTGTCCGGTAGAGATTTTTTTATTGATAAAGGTAGATAATCTTATAAGGAATCTTGTGTTTCATTTTCAAATCTTAGATTTAAAAAGAAAAATTTTTACGAATTCTTAACTCAAAATAATTTGCTAATTTTCGTGATTTTTCCATATTTTGTCAATTTTTGAACTTTAAATGCTTATAAAAAAAAAATTGTGACTAAGGATTTTTAATATTTTTCATCTGCCTTTGAAACAACATATTAGGAGCCTTCTATTAAATTTTCAAGCTTTCGCAACCAATAAATAAAATTTTATTGATATTTTTAGAAAAAAAACTAAAAAAAAATGGAAAATGAAAATGTCCCTAAACAGTTCAAAATAAATCAAAATATTTTGAAAATGTTATCGTGTATAGAAAATGCAAATATAAACAACCAGTGAAAATTTCATGTATATACGTTCATTTGTTTTAGAGTTACACCAATAACCAAAATCGATTTTTTGGAAAACCAATTTTGCGTAAAAATTCCCGTTTTTCCTTAATTTTTATGTTGTTTTTCCCGGCGCTTGTGAAAACTACTGGGAAATTTATACTTTTGACCCCCCAAAGTACCAACTAGATTCACTTTCCTATCAGAAAAGCTACTGATGAAGAAAATCCAAGCACTTTTACTGTCCTAAAACGTGATGACAGACACAAAAATATAAATAAAAATATAAAAATATAAAAATATAAAAATATAAAAACATACATCATTGTAAAACCAATACATTCATCGTTCCGCTCAGAATCTAAAATGTGTTTCGAATAATTCAAAATAGACTTCATAATAAATTTAATTATATTTTCAAAATTATTATTGGAGTAGAACTCAAGTCAGTAAAATGGAACTCGTACAGATGTATTTTCCTCCAGAAAACAGTTGTGTGTAACACCTTAAGTAGACATAATAAACGGTTAGGTTATATATTATATAACCTAACTATTTTGGAGCTGATTGTATATTAAATGAGTAGGTAATTAAAATTATAATAAGTTATCATCATATAAATCCATATTAACAATCCACTTCAAAAATAAAAATAATTATGATGAAATTAAAATTTGAAATAGGTATAGGTATTGATGTAGGTAACCTACAACCATAGAACAAAAAAACTCAACTACATGGTTAGGAACTTTTACGATTATACTTACCTAAAAAAGCGCTCAGAATATGAGTAACTAATAACTATGGAATTGATTTTTCAAATAAGTTTTTTCCAAGTATTTTGTACGAGTTCTATGAATAT